AGAGAGAGAGAGAGTGGGGCATATTGTTGCATGCATGTGGTCCTAGAAACCCTAGGGCTCCTGCTCATGGCCCTCGACCTAGATAGCTAGCTATAGCTATCCGTAGATGATCGATGATACAGAAAACAGTAGTACGTTGCCCTAATTATCATATAATAAGAAAAAGTCCAAAAGATGAATAGTAAAAGAAGGGAGAGCAACTGAGCAATTAGCAAGAGCTAGCATCACTACTGCAGCAACTGCACTTATATATATGAATAAACGAAAAAAAAGAGAGGGAGAGAGAGAGAGAGAGAGAGAGAGAGAGAAGTAGGTTTAGGGATGGAGAACGATTATGGCGAGCGGGTAACCGCGATTATTTATTCATAACCGTTTATATTTATACCCGCATAACCGTTTACCTGTTGGATAATTGTCTAAACGGTTATATCTATATCCATAATCGTTTATAAATAATTAATCATACTTATAACCGTATACTTATTTAACCGTAATCATTAAATAGCCATTTACCCATTTAACATTTTTAGATAGGTTCCCCGACCCCATTAGGATTAGGGCTTCTGAGATGTAGCCTTTAGCAATACCTAGAGAGAGAGAGAGAGAGAGAGAGAGAGAGAGAGAGAGAGAGAGAGGGCAGGGGGGCACCACCAAGCAGTGAGCGAGTCAGTGATGGCCATGCATGCATCATCCCCCATACCCTTTCCTCGAGCTTAATTTTAATTTGATGTAAACACGTGACATTTCATCGGAAATTCTCGGTAAAAGGTTACCTACCGTTTCTGTGAAATGCTATATATGCATATACATAATCGATATTTGAAAAGTAAGCTGCTCTATAATGTACATGATTCAAATATAAAATCTCTTACTTTCAAGTGAAGAATAATACCATCAGACCGTAGTACTGAATGATTTCTCACCCTTAATTTAAATATATCCTTATTATTCAAAACATGCTTGACTAGAACTTTGCATTGATCTTTTCTTGTTGAAATCGAAGGATAGATTTTTAGTCCTTGTTCAACTCGAGCACGAATGATGAGAAAGTTTTTAATGTGATAGACATGTTGTGATGAACTAAATTCACTTATTATCATATGGGTAGACGACATAGTTGATATATCATGGATCTAAACTATAATATTAATAAATTGATACACATATTATTAGATAAATGAATTTATAACACTACATGACAGTGTACATACACGTTGAAAATTGTCTCGTCAATCTTAAAAAGATGGTCAATTTTTAACAATGTAAACCCTTGCAATTACAACTTCTTCGTGTAATTCAATTCTTTAGAATTCACCTTCGTGGCAGCTTTCTCATAGACCCATACCATAGACTAGATTTTTCTCTCTTCAAAATGGATATAACTAAACCCTAGGAGAATGATTTATGTGTAATCAATTACTTCAACCCAATACATGGGAAGAGAATCTTAATCCAACATGTCAAACTTCTCCTAATAGCTAGCTCCTTTTGATAATCCTCTAAACATACGAATTAAGATATATAGGCCTGCATTATAAATTTCAATGTTCTAATTAAGAAGTGGGGCTGGTGATTGTAAATGAGAGTTGAGAGTTGCAAGCGCAATAAGAATTTTGGAAACCCGATTTCAAGGTCAGGAAAAGTTAATATGAATGTGGTACCCCCTGAAATTTTGTCCAAGCCATAACGTTGAAGATAATACTGGACCACAATAATCAAATCACTTGTATAAGGCCGCATGAAAACGATATGCAATTACCATGCACATATAAGATGTAACACATTTAAATATTGTGACAAAAAAAATGTAACCAAACTTTACAAGAGAGTTACCTTATAGTATTAATTAGCAAAGTCTCACACTAGTGAGTAATGTACTCACTTTTTTATTTTTCCCAATAAAAATTTCACATGTTCTTTGTTTTTTAAAGGCCAAGAAAAATCAAATAACATGTTAATTATTTTTAAAATAATAAAACATGTGTTCATATATTATTGAACAAAATGAAAAGGTGAATACTGATCACCGGAGAGTACCCAAGTATTATTCTTAATTTTGTTTCGTTTAGAGTAATGTTCAAGATTTTTCTTTATATAAGGAATGCTACCTCCTCTTCGGATTGCCTTGTTGAAAGTGATCTATATATAGAATCTGTTATTTCTTAGTCCTTTTCCCCTTTTTTTTTCTTGCCAAAAGTCCTTTTTCCCTTTTAGACTACTATAACTTTGTTAAGCATTGATATTCTGATGCAAGGTTGAATTGTCCGGCTCTTCTCGATCATATGTTTTTCTTTTGGTTAGTCCTGACTCGTGAGATGCATTTTTCCTCTCATAAACCAAAACCCTTTTTTTGTTGGAGATATGAGTTTAGGGTCCTATCTAATTGTGCTTTTGTTGCTATCAATTTATGAATAATACTTGCATTCTCTTTTAAGGGAATGAGTTCATTCCTCCATTTCTAAAAAATGTATCTTCATCGTAATTTTTTTTATGATCGGAACTATTCAATCTGTTAATATTCATTTGAAGATTATTCCTACAAAAATTCATTCGAATCGAATATTATTTAGTCATCCAAATATGTCACATAAATCAACAATGAAGGTATCAAGCATCATATTCATGTTGAATCGTTGATTTATTTCATACATTTAGATACGATTTCCGATTCGAATGATTTTTTGTAGAGTTGATTTTCAAATGAAAATTAGAAAATTGAACCGTTTCAATTATGAAAGTTATATGGTGAATATACATTATAAGTAAGTGGGTGAATGAGCTTATCCCCCTTAACAGAGGGAATACAAGCATTATCCTTAAATTATAAATGATCTATTAATCTTTTGTTTTAGGATCAAAATAAATGATCTATTAATCTAATAATTAAAAATAGGCTTTTTAGCCAAAATAGTCCCTGAAATTTGCATAACACATCACTTTGGTTCCTGAGATTTGAAATCAATAGAAGTGGTCCCTGAGATTGTCCACTACCAATCATTTTGGTCTTTCTGTGCAAAATTTTGTTAAATAAGGATTAAAATGACAAATATTGCCTTAATTTAATAAACAATAGGCCAAAATGATTTGACAAAAATTAAAGGTATTTTGGTCATTCTATTCTTATTTAATGGAGATTTTTCAAGGAAGCACCAAAATGAGTTGTAAACACGAAAATTCTGTATCAAATGAAACGAGAACATGTGTAGAAAGTAGATTTGTATTGATTTGAATTTGTAGGTTACAATCTCTATTTACAATTTCCTCTTATTTAGTCTTCAAATTTGATGTAGATGCGTGATTGTTGATTCAAGGATCGCGATGACTTGATCTCGGACGAACTGTTGAACGATTGCTTCAAGTTTTGAGCTTGAAAACAACGCGTGGATGATCTTCACCTCAAGGGTGCGGCAAGGGGTAGTGTTTGATGCGGATTTCGTTGCTTCAAGGGTCTTGGCGACTTGATCTTGAAACAAACGTTGCTACAAGTTTATAAGCTTGCAACAAAGTCTTGAAGGAATCGGTACGAGCGCTTGTTGATTCTTCAAAGAAGTGCTTCGGCTTTGGTTGAGAGAAAGCTTTGACTTTGGTTGAATGTTCTTCGAAGAGAGTTTTGCCAGAGGTTCTTATGTGTAGAGATTTTTCGACCCTATGCTTGTATGAGGACCTTGTATTTATAGGCTTTTCAAAGCTTGCCTTTGGATGGATTTGGCTTTGATTTATGTCCTAATTTATCCACGGGAGAATTTAGGCATGTTTTGTGTCTTAATTCCCTTGCTTGGCCGAATTTAAGAGCCCTTGTTGCCTATTTTGTGAGCAATCTTCAATTCTTACTAGTTTTATGAAGATGCTTTGACTTTCTTTCCGGTTTTAGGATCAATTTGGACCTTTTTGCAGAATTTAAGAGAGATTTCTCCCCTTTGCCCCATTTTGGGGAAGTTTTCTACTTCGTTTGCTTGACTTGTGCCACATGTCATTGATGACTTGTCCATTTGTGATGAGTTATGCAAATTTCAAAGACCATTTTGGCTAAAAAGCCTTAAAAATAGTATACTAGCTAGTTAGGCATTGCTTAAGGTCAAAACTTGTGCATAATTTGGAAGATATATCACAAATTCAACAGGCTTCACTAGTGCACTTTTATTTTCAAAAATGGAAATTCCAGACATGTGCACTATTTGGTTCACATATTAGTATGCAATATAATATAGTGAAAGTCCAATAAAACCAAGAATTTTAGGCCCATATTTCACACGGCACATTCTGAGTCGATTCCTGGCCCTGGTGAATCACATGATAAGGGCTAGGGGAGGCTGAAATGCCTTTGTGAGTTTTTCTGGCCACTGGAAGAATGGACTACCATGGCAAAGCTTCCAGCTAGTCCCATTCTTAAAGAGAAAAATAAATAAAACCAAGATTATCATATTAAGAATGTCCTCCATTCAAATTAACAACAAAATTGCTTGCAAAGAGAACCCATGTTTAACGTAATAAACTTCGTCAGGTAATATGGATGAATTTAAATAGCGTTTAAAATAAAATTATTTGTACAATATTTACTCATCACTTTATTTAATCATTACAGTCGACGGAGAGGGTCGGAATTGTGCGAGCAAGATGTGAACGACTCATGAAGCATTGGTCTAAGATTAAGGGGACTCCATCCGACCATGGTGAGAAGTTTGGTGTGTGGTGTGCCTGATCATCCCCTGGGCGCTTGGCTTGGCCATAGCTTTTGCCACTGGCTGGCAGGACCAGCAGCAAGCACTACACGTACAATCGATGACACCAAAAGTCAAAAACTCCAAACCTAACTATCTATCTGGCAATACAATACAAACGTGTCCTCTCTACGAAGACAAGTGGCCTCCAATTAACAATAATAGTTAAGTATTCTTTACTGGCAAATTCATCACACAGTAAATTGAGCTAGATCTTTCTCTCTGGTTCTGGTTCTTAATTACTTAGCACACGCAGAAATATACGCACATATACATCTATATACATATAGAGGGAGACAGAGAGAGAGAGAGAGATTGCACCCAAAAAATTATTGAAGAAAAGGACAACCTCACATGACCTAAACCCTCATCTTTCATGGGCCCCTACGTATAAAAATTTCTTCTCCTCCTTCTTCCGATCCCTCTCTCTCTCTCTCTCTCCCCGCTCAGACACAGTTTTTTTCTTCTAAACAAGAAAATTGGAAGACGGAATTTGATGTTTTGCTTCTCATTGTAAAGCTTCACAAAAGGTAATTAGCTACTCAATTAACCTGTAAATTTAAACATATATATGTGTATGTATGTATGTGTGTATCCATCTCTCTCTTTCTGTCTCTCTCTACCCCTCTAGTTTAGTAGCATAGTTTGGTCAACACTGATATGCCAAGAAGCTAGTTTACGACTTCCTGACCTTATGGTTGAGCTGTCCATGGCTAATTTTGTCACGTTTTATTAGGGTTTGCGTTTTTCGGCTTTGGTCAAGGAAGGCACCGACCCTCTTTTGTGGATGATGAGACTCTCAGACTTTGGGGCCTCAGAGATCTGATCAGAAGCACAAAAAGATAACAATTTTCATAAAGGTATAATTTGAGGTGAGCGTTCTTACATGCAAGCCAGTTTTTAATACATAAAATTTCTTATTATTATTATTTTATTCAATTATTCATTTCCTACACTAATCAGGTGATAGGGTTTTGGATAATATTGCAAATTATTGTGATAGAATATAACAAGATCATGGACTTTATGCAAAGAGATCAAAAGGGGTATTCTGACAAAGAAGATCAAGATCAAGAACAAGAAGATCAAGAGGAAGAGGAGGATATAATCACCACAAGTAACAGCAATTATGGGTCCTCACCAAAATACAAAGGCATCCTTCTTCCTCCTCCTCCTCCGCACTACCACCAGCAGTACGGCCGGCAAAAGCCGTGGCTTGATGTTCAGAATCACGGCTCTCCGGAAGCCATCAACTTCACGGACTTATCACTAAACAAAGATCAGGTTTCTGATGGTGGTACGGACCAGAATTACTGGCCTCCTAATTCTGAAAGAGAGCACATGTTTGACAAGGTTGTGACGCCAAGCGATGTTGGGAAGCTCAACCGCCTGGTCATTCCGAAGCAGCATGCGGAGCGGTACTTCCCACTTGACTCCTCATCGAACGACAAGGGCTTGCTTTTGAATTTCCAAGACCGGACGGGAAAGCCGTGGCGGTTTAGGTACTCTTATTGGAATAGCAGCCAGAGCTATGTCATGACAAAAGGGTGGAGCCGTTTTGTGAAGGAGAAGAAGCTGGATGCCGGTGACATTGTATCATTTGAGCGAGGGGTTGGGGAATCGGGGAAGGACAGATTGTACATTGACTGGAGGCGCCGTCCTCCCCCTCCTCTTCCGCCTCAACTACATCCTCATAACCATTATGGCGGAGGCAGGGTTTACTCGCTGCTGCAGCGGCCGCTGCCTTCGTCTGTGATGTCGTCTATGCCTCTTAGACACCACGAACATTTTCTTCACTCGAACAACAATGTTCATCATCCGTACCACCACCAGCATCACAACTATCAGCTCATGAATCAACAATATTTACCGCATCAGCTTCATCAATTGCAAGGTGGGGGGGATCAACATGTGATTCATCATCAATATCCAATGGTGATAGATTCGGTGCCTTTTTATCAACATGGTAATTATAAGAACAGTGCTACTAGTACCAGTAATAGTGCTAGTGCTAGTGTTGCTTCATCAGCTGGTAAGAAGCTTAGGCTTTTTGGTGTGAACATGGAATGCTCAAGTAGTCCAATTGAAGAGGATGATCATCACGAATGTCAGATATTGTCTTCAACAGCAATACCCTATCAACCTCATCTTCCATCGTCGACATCTTCACTGGCTTTTCCTCCGCTCGAATTCATTAGGCTGCCCAATACAAGTAGTAGTAGTACTCCACCAGATCATCTTTTCCTCTCCAACAAAGGGAAATCTACAACTTCGTTTTATTTGGATCCCTAGAGAGTTTGATCGTTTGCTGTGTCAATAACGACTTTTCGATCTTCACTAGTTCAATTTCCTCTTGAATTAAAGGTACCCCAATGGACAATGGTCCCCCCATCGACACAGGTCTAGCTGTAGATCAGCTGCCTTCCAAATAAAGGAACAATCTACTTCACTTGTCGATTTATTTGGACATATATGATGATCCCAAGCTCGCTAGAAAAGAGTTCATTTGCCGTGAATTAGCAGGAAAATAAATATATAAACAAAAGTGAACAAGCATTTTTCTTTACATCAATTTACACTAGTAGTCGAATTTACTTTTTCAAATTGATCAGAGTACTACTACTACCGCTGCTGCTGCATTTCTTTTTTCCTTATATATATATAACTGGTTCGTGCTTGAGCTCTCCAGTATACATATATATTTATATATAAGTATATATATGTATGTATTGTTAAAGCCCCACATCGGTGGTGGGAAAGAAAACCAAGGTGTTTAAATATGATTACCCCACTATAACTAATATCGAGGTTTTTTGGGGTAAAAACCTCACACCTGATGGATTGGACAGGTGGTCAAGGTGGGGACAGTATCGGTGTCGTTAGAGTGGGGTAGACCCCACGATCCAAAAAATCCAACATGATATCAGAGCCAAGGTTCGGGCCCGTGCAAGCTAACGAGTTTGTCGCCAAAGAAGGAAATAAGTCAGGACTCTTAACATAGAGTTGGCCGCTGAGTTCCATTGAAAACAAATCCGAACTCTTAACATAGAGCCGACCCCTGAGTTTCAAGGTTACACATGAGGGAGGGGGAGTGTTAAAGTCCCACATCGGTGGTGGGAAAGAAAACCAAGGGGTTTAAAGATGATTACTACTGCTGCACAATGCAACCTAATTTTCAATATTACACCACAATTTAAGGAAGAAAAGGCTGATCAACTTTGATGATACAGCTTGCCGGTTAAAGAATGTACTTTTTTTTTTGGTCTGAACAACAATTATTCTCTAGTAATTCGTAAGTACATTGATAATTAGAAGTTCAAACTTTCTTCTACTTACTAGTTTGAATTAATGACTGTTATATATATATATATATATATATAGCAATAGCCGCAACATCCTTGATATATATGAACAAAGGTCGTACCCAGTGCACAAGGCTCTCGCTTTACGCAAGGTTTGGGAGAGGTGAATGTCGGCTAGCCTTACCCCCATTTATGGAGAGGCTGCTCCCAAGTCTCGAATCCGAGACTTACCGCTCATGGGCGAAGGCACTTGCCATCGCACCAAGTGCGACCTCTTCCTTGATATATATGAACAATTAATTAAAATTAGTTTCTTTATTTTGTATTACTATTTGCTGCTGCAGCTGCAGCTAATCAGATTAGGCACCCTTTACAGGTAAGGCTAGGTGCAGAAAGCTCATTGATGTTAAAAAGGTACATGTATCATCTATGTTCTTAACTAGTCCAAATTAATTAACTTTATTCAAAGTTCTTCTGGTGTTATATATGGCCAAGGACATATTGTTGTTGCCCTACTTTTTATCACCTTAATTGGTAATTCATATGTTTAATTTCTCTTAATATGCATCCAGCCTGTTTGACTTTGTCTTGATACTGTAAAAACCTGCAGGTAGATAGAGTTTAATTAGGTGTAAATTAATATAACATACAGTCTGCCTCTATATATATATATATATATATATATGAGTAATTCCTTTTGTAAGAAATTCTACTAGTCTAAATAATTTCTTCTGTAAATTAAACAGTGTATTTGTAATAACCTATGCTAAAAAGAATCAAATTATATTTTGTGCAATTGTATATATATGAGAATGTATACATATAATATAATTATATAACTCTAACTTCCTAATTAGTAATTTGTAACTACTAATTAATCCCATCTCCTTTCGTTAATCACTTCATGCTCTAGCTATATATCTAATGCTAGTTTCCAAATTAATATAAACACTGCACTCTAACAGGTTTCCTTGGTCTCTTCACTGGTATGCGAACGTTTGCAGCTGGTAATGGCATGCCAAAATTGGATTATAAACTGGTATACGTACGTTTGTAGCTGAGACACAAACTCCTCATTTGTTTCCTTACTTTTATACCCAAAGGCCATTTTTCTTGTAGTGTTCATTTAACAGAATTTATTCTATATGTAAAGTAAATTAAATTGTTTGATGTCAGGACTGATTAATAGAAATGCTGTTTCTGAGTTATCAGTAACACTACTAACACTCTTTAACAGTTCTTCCCCTGGAAATGAGTTATTAGTTAACTGTTTGACACTCAAATTTTGTTCAAATAAATGGGGTTTTCAAACTTCGTAACTACTAATCAATAAGAAAATTAGAAAATAATACAACATATATATTTTCCAAAGGAATGGTACAAAGTGGCGGATTCAGGATTCAAATCTTAGGCAGTCCCAATGTTAGAGATCCAAGTTTTTTAGATAAAAATAGAGCACGAAGCACGCAAATTTTTTGTTCAGGTTTATCGAACACTTGATGAATGATATCAACAGAATTTGTGGAGTGTTGTCTATGCAACCTGTCAAGATATGCTTAGCAGGTATTACATCAAACGTTTGGTAGGTACGAAAGGACCCGTACAAAACATTCTAAGGGATCTCAGAAGACCATCACATGTATATTTTCTAAACTCCGAGTGGTCCTAGGACCTAGGTCCAAGTGTGCATCCGTCTTTGTGTACAAACTAGAACTGCATAAAGTAATAGTTTTTCTATTTATTTCGATTTATTTGCAGATTTCCATTGTTATAATATCAATCCCTCTCGTGTAACTAAACAAGATTGTGGTGCCGGCCACGAAAAATCTGGATTATGGTTGATTGTTTTCACAGCTGCAGTTACCCTCATTTGTTCGCAGCTGCTGTTAAGCTTCCTGATCAACTTCAACTTGGACAAGGGTCACTGGGCTGCTTATGAAAGCAAAAACCCTAAATTGTTGGTAATGTATTCAACTGGCAACCAACCCTAGCAATGTTGCTGGTTAATTTAACGATCATATACCATGCCAACTAGTAATCAAGTCTAGCAATGGTAGCAGACAAACCCTAATATAATGCACGCAAGCGCACAATTTTTCATACTTATTTCTCAACAGTCGATTGCTGTATATAGACAAATGTCACTGTGCACCGCTCAATTATGTTATGCAAGCATAGTAACTCTTTTTAACCAGGCACAAACTTGCATGGACCACATTAGGGTTCTAGCCTACTTTCTCCTTTAAGATTGTTATCAAAAGTGCAAGGATAGGAAGAGAGAGATGCATGTGGGACAATATCCTAGTGGATAGGGTGTTGGATTTCTACCCATGCATTCGGAGTTCAAACTTTCCTCCCCCTAAATTACTTAATAGTTTCCTACCCTCCTCCTTCCCCTCTTAATATACATTAATAATTTTCTTTTTTGAGAGAGAGAGGGAGACTATTAATGGCAAGGTCCTAAAAGACGTTAGAGACTAGTCGGGTGGTGGCTAAAGCCTACCACCTAGCTAGACGGTTGGTAGGCCTAGGCAGATTGAAGTAAATTTATTATATATCGTATAAATTGTGTCTATTTATACTTAAAAAATATAATTATATTAAGATATATCAATTGCCAAAAAAAAAAAAAACATAAAAATTATAAAGTATAGGAAATATTGAAAACATGGGGGACAAGCATATAATGAGAGTTCAACCAAGTATTCAACAAGTCTTTTACATTTTATTAAAAATATGTAAAATGCAAAATGAAGTTATCGATTTTTTGTATAAGTGAAAGTCGCGGATTAGACAGATGCCTAGACGGGCTAAGCGGGCGCCTATGCGGAGGTCTATGAGGGCTTTCTTAATTTTCAAACACCTAGGGATTAATCAGGGTGATGGTCAGCTGCCTAGCGCCTAGGTAGACCTAGATGGTTCTAGGTGGGAATTTCTAGAACAACGATTGGGGGTTATGGTAAGAATTGTATGGTAACTTAGTAAGGGCCAGTTTCGGATTGCTGTGCTTTTTTAATAAATTGCTTATGTTGTGATTTAAGAGTAATCATCTACAAAGTAAAGCAGTTGAGCGTTTGATACATTGTATTTTTAAAAGTGTTGTGAATATGAAAAGCAATTTAAAAACTGTTTCTAGAAGGATAAATAATGCCATTGTTTAAAATTAATGAGCTTATTACAGTTTGTTCAACAAAAAAAGAGCTTATTACAAGAATTAAAAATATTCTAAAGGCTTAAGTCTGCTTTTTATTAAAGTAACCTACATACTACTTTTAAAAGCAACCTACAAACTACTTTTAAAAGTTGCTGTTTGGAGGTCATTACTTTTAAAATAAGCCTTATATTTTATTTTTACCAAACATTTTTTTACTGCTTTACTTTAAAGTAAAACAATTTTTAATGAAAAAAAAAATACCAAACTGGGCCTACGTCTTAAAATGTTTATGGTAATTAATAAAAAAATAAAGGTGTTTATAGTGAATTCGATGATACATCATTAGATTTGTTAAAATCTTAAAAAGAGGATTTGCATTTCCTTTCTATAAATATCCTTAACCATATGCATGATTAAACTCACAAATCCAATCGAACAAAAATAAAACCTCAAAAATCCAACAAGAAACAAAAAACAGAAATGCTCAAACTAAACGCGACACCGTTTACGAGCAAAGTAAATATACGAAACGGGTTTAGGCCCATAACTGAATTCAACCCGAACACAACAGTCGTCAGCGAAGGCCCAAATTTTATTTCTTTTATCGAAGCCAAAGCCCAAACCCGGAAACAGGAAGAACCAGTGTTTCCAGAGTGCCCAGAGAGAGAGAGAGGAGCACAGAGCGCCATGGAGTACAGATGTGTAGAGTGCGGCGGTCGCATGACGACTCTGTTCGTCCAATACTCTCCCGGCAACATTCGTCTCATGAAATGCGTAAATCCCTTTTCCTTTCTTTTCTTTTCCTATTTTATTTAATTTTTTCTGTATTTTTTTTTGAGTTTTTCTGCTGCTAAATTGGTTAGGTTTTTCTGTGAATAGGGTAATTGCAAGGCAGTTGCAGACGAGTACATTGAATGCGAACCCATAGTAAAGCTCCTATCTTCTTTTTCTTTTCCCTTCAATTTTCTCCTTCGAAATTCAACAAATTTGATACGTTTTGATTTGTTTGCACTGCCAGATTATTCTAATTGATTTGATTCTGCACAAGACCAAAGCTTATACACATTTACTCTATAATGTCATCGACCCACAAGCTCCTTCTTTCCAGGTATTGAAAATTATGCTGCTTTTTGCTTCTGGGATTTTACAGTTTTATTGTTCCTTTGAAAACTTGGGTCACCAGAGTTGCTAATTTGATTTTCTGGATACCCTTTTCAGGGTTTATTGTGGAAGTCGACTTTCGGGTTTCTTCTGCTGGATGCTTGTATCCTTACCGTGCTTATCAGGATTGTGTTTTTGGAAATTTAAATTTTGATTCTTTTTACATAATATGTGTTTATATATGTATTGGGTGCCTTAGCAATGTGTGTAGATAGGAGTCTCTTTTTGGAAAGAAGCAAGGAAGAATGGGGCTTGTCCATGAGCTTCGCCTCTTTACTTTGGAGATTTCAAAAGGTTGGTGGGTACATTATCGAATTTCATGGGGTTTATACGCATGTAGGATGATTTATATTAAATTTTAGCAGATGGGTTGAGAATTTTGGCATTTCAGTTTCCTATTAATAAGAAAAAGATGTTCCGATTTCAGATGCTGATGGATATCGTCTTTGGAAATATCATGTTTCTTTCTACATTTTTACTTGCTATGAGGATTCTTTTCAGCACATTCCCTAGACCACTCAGGTAACATTTCCCGTGTGTACTCTCCAGGATGGCAGTGATTTCTATGAATATTTTAACCGAGGCATAGTTTTATTACCCATCTATATGTAAACATGTTCAGGAAGCATGCCTGGTTTGGTCAGTCGATAAAATGGTATAAACTGAACTAGAGAGTTCTATCTAGCATCTTTGATTTGCGACCCGCTCAGAAAGTTAAGATGGATAATGGTTACTCAAAATTATGTTGAGCTATGAACTAGTAGGAATTTGGTCAGGCTAAAGTTGGTACGGTTAGCACTGTTTAAAAGTTTAGGGAAAAAGATATAGAATACATAAGCAGAAGAACAAATTATGAACACCCGTGAGTCATGGCCTGAAAGATTCATAACTGGAGCAACCCGTAGTAGTGAGATAAGTTGTCTCGTGAGATAAGTTGTTGTCTCGTCTCAGTAGATACATATATATATATATATATATACACACACACACACAAACATGAACATATGAGTGTGTGATATTGTATATTCTGGTACAGGTATAAAGAGCTTCTGCTTGCAATATTTATTTCAAGTTACTTCAAGATGTTTCTTATTGCAATGATGGTATGGTTTGCAAATTAAATAAATCCGTTTTTTCTTTCCTCATATTTGAACTTTCCTCAAGAATACTTGGTTAGACTCAACGCATATCTAATTTGAGCATGTGTTCTACAGGTCTGGGAATGTCCTTCTGTGATTTTGATCGTTGATTTATTTGTTTTATCATCCAACACTGTGGCACTCAAAGGTCAGATGATAATGTATTTACGGTCCTTGTCATGTTTCTAAAGTTAGCATTTTCAATGCATATTTCATTAACTAAGCTTTATCAGCGAAGTATCATCTTGAATTTGTTACAGAAAATGCTACTGCTAGATGCTCATATATCTGATCACTTTAGTTTTAAGGACTACACAATGTTTTACGATATAAAATAGATGTTCTGCCTTGATTTGATATGGAGGTGTGCATTAGCTAACATTAGATCTGCTTAGTATTTCTCAAATTCTATGGTGTGGAGACTCTTACTCTGAGAACGACCGATTGCAGCTGAACATCCTTCTTCCTTTCTCCTTTTTTTGAAACAGTAATAACTCGGTCAGCTATGAGTAGATGTATAGCGGCGTGCTTCAGTGCTCATGTGGTAAAGTTTTTGGTCACACAAAGGTGCTGGAGTTGGGAACTTTTTAGATCTTAAATCATTGGTTGCCTTTCTTTCTCTGTATTGAAACGCATAATTTTTGTTTAGACTTTTGTATTCTCATTTATTATTCTTTTGAACAAATAGATCAATATTTTATGCGAAGACAGTGGTGGTGTTAGACTGGCTGCTGTAAGATGTGGTGTAAATATGTAAGATGTGTCACAGTTATGAAATAGAGGGCAGTTTTTTAGCATTCTACTATAAACTTTCAGCTTTCAGATTTTATTGTGGTTTAAGTTTTTACCTTTGATTGGAATTTGGAAATCGAAAGGAACTTACCTTTGATCGAAACGAAACTTACCTATAGCTAGAGTGCCATTGTGACGGTTATTCAAACCAATCAATCACTGCTAGAAAGTTAAACACATGGCAATGCTTGATTAGCTTGAGATAAAACGTCCAATTGTAGATGAGTTTCGGCCTTTGGGGAGGGTGGAAAAGAGCCTCGACATATCCAAATGCCCTAAGTCAGTGCTCTAGTGAATTTTCCTCCTGTTGCTCCCTAACTTAAGGAAAGCGGAGAAACAATTTTTCTTCTTGTGTGATTTCAAATACTAGTTAGATACCAATTTATTCCTCAAACCCTTATTAAAAAAATATAACGTTGCATAAAAAATAAAAAAAAGAGAATAGACTGCACAAAATTCCATTGAAATTGAAAGGTTCTAAATAAACAACGTTAACTGCAATACAACATGAAAGGAGTACAGGAAAAGCAGAAATGCTGCACAGGAACGCAGCAGCTGATACAGGGAAACTAATCAAAGCAATATTTACATAAGATGGGTGTTTAATTCTGAAGGTTATCAAAGGATTAAACCAATCATAATCATCCGATTTTGATAATGATCGTAATTACCACTCCATTACGGATGGAACCTCAAATTTCAATACCAACAACCAGTACATCAACATTAGTGTCTGGTTATTGTAACATACTTGAGACTCCAGAAGCCATGTCGCAGCAGATCCTGTATAACGCCATTTCCAGAATAAACGACTGTGGAAGGAAAGCCCGAGTACGAGGCTAGAACTAGAGCTTGGTGCGAAGTATTATACCATTCCCTGTCGGGGGACTTGATAAGTGGTGTTGAGGAGATGCTTCAATGAAAGAAACCTACAGTTGCCTGCTTCAAAGACTCGGTTTTTGCTTTCTTCTGGGGCAGATGAAGAGCAATGCGCTAGTAGAATTGACAGAAATCGAACTGAGTTGAGTGAAACCAGATAATAGCCTTCCCAAAGCATCAATACAAGAACTTTTATTAACTATTTCAGCTTTGATTGCTCACCTTGTCTTGTGATGCAGCTTTGCAGTCGGATTCTTCTCGAAGCAACTCCAAGTGGATAGACGCGAATGGACGATGGTTGAAGACAGTCTTGCTGAGGTACGTATGGCTTTTGATGAAGAGTACAGATAATTTGAAAACAATTTTGCTGAGGTTCGTCTGACTTTTGATGAAGAGAGTACACTATTGAAAGACAATTTTGCTGAGGAATATTTGTAGTTTGGTTGACAGGTGACACGCGGTCTACAAACAACCGCTGCTTCTGAGAAAAGACATCTTTGCTTAATCTGGACTTGTTGAAGGAGAGTAGACTTCCTGATGACATCTCAAACACTGGCTTCTACGGCTGTTCTTTGAACTAACATGTTCACCTAACAAGCTTTGAAGTTTCTAAAACTAAGGAATGCTTAAAAACGGCCAAAGAGAAGAGGAACAGGCTTAGCGAACCTACGTCGGTTGTCACGGACATGATCGTCCAAAACTGGCAGATGAAGTTTCTACTGCCTACAGTTCCTGAAAGGTAGACTAGGGTGATGCTTTACTCTTGCTAGAGCTCTTGGGGTTTACAAGTCCCCTATTTCTGTTTTCCAATAACTAAGATCTTGCTGTTCTTCGATAATTAAATCTTCTTGTTCACTGGCTATTCTTGAGTAACTAAGACCGACTAAACCTATGTTGCTGTTGATATCTTAAGACTCGTGCTTGTGACTCTGGTAGATTAGAGTCACTAAAAGTAGGGTACGTTGTTTCTTCCCAGGATACTAAATTACTAATCCTGGTCAACAATGATAAATCAAGAACTTTATGGGAAAAGAGTTTAAATCTCCATATCATCTGGAGATCGCAACTCATCATTGCATCCAATATAGTTATTGGGATGCACACCATCTCCCAGTTCCGTGTTCATTGGTGACAGCAGCAAGTAATCTTGTAACGGATCAAACGGTGGACCCATACATTCATTGGGATCACAGGTTGAAATATTATTCTTAAATTCAAGATAAGAAATATTATCTGGAATTAAAGATTGCCGCCTTGTGCAATCACCATGGACATGGGAAACACTTCCCGGCAAAGTGTGTAATGGTGACTGCAGTGTGGGTGGGCAGTAATCCTGTGGTTGATGTGGCTGTGAAGGCTGATGTGGATGCGGTGGCTGATGTGGCTGTGGTGTCTGCTGCAGCGGTTGAGAGGGTGAATTCAGAATTTCTCCCATCTCAGCACACAACTGGTGGATTACGAATCACAAACAAGCAGGTGTTAAATTTTGGCAGGTTTTGCAAGTTCAAAGAAAAGAACGCAGAAAAAGCATATGCTTATCTCACCTCTAGAAATATAGCTGGATCATCGAAATCCGAGAATTTCCAGAAACCAGTGTCATCATCACCATCATCAAGGCTCAAGCTAACTTGGCTAATCCCTAGCTCTTTTTCTCCCAGATGTTCCACTGGCTCTGCTATCACATCACTTACAACAGCTTGATCGTCTTCAGAATTCGCTCCCGAATCAGCTAATTCGCCCCGGATTGGATCACCCTTCGGCTTCTTATAACTAGCTGAATTGTTCTTCAGGCGGCAGAGGACAAAGTCCATCTGCTTGGTGGGTTTAGAACCCACCTGGGTTTCTGTGAGATAATACTCATGGACTATCCAATCGGTCTTCTTTGCTTTCGGCGCACGACCTTCGTAAAAGGTCAGAATCCTCTTCTTCCCAATCACAGCTTTGGATTCTTCAGCCCTGATCTCACGCTCCTTCCCTGTGATCTTGTAAAAGCCTTGCTCCGTGGCCCGGTTGCAGCGAGTGCTGTTGATGTACTTGTAGTCGGGCCGGCTGAAGAAGTACCACTCCTTCTCTTGATCTTCTGGGAAGAATGCTGAAATCCAACAACAAAACAAAATGTTCAAAATTTGATACCAGTCCACTCCAATTCTTGAGCGACGAGCGATATTACTACTCTTAAGTTCTACTAAGGGGAGGGGGGAGGGTTTGCCCGGGGCGCAATGGTTGGAACCCGGGCAATCCACCCTTGCACTCCAATTCTTAAGGTACAAAAACACAAAAACTGAAAAGATCATAAATATATGCATACAACAGCTTCATACAAAAGAAATAGAGCACTGGAATCACAACACAAAACAAAAAATGGAAACCCAATTCAATTCCGGATGAAAAAAAAAACAAAAAAAATCGAACAAGATAGTAAATTTACATAAACAACATCCGAATCCATCAGAAATAATAAAAGGGTAGTGAATAAAAAGTGAGACAGATTAGTGGGGTTACCAGGAAGATCGCAGGGCTCGTACTTGCAGACATCGATTTCAGGGATGAGGTGACGGAAATGGGAGTCTGTGCCCTGTACCTTGTTCTTCAAGTAGTAGCTGACCAGCAGCTCATCAGTTGGGTAGAATCTGAACCCAGGTAGTAGGATCAGATTCACATGCACTGCATCTCCTTCTTCAGTTGTCATGCTGCTGCTGATGCTGCTACTGCTCATCTCTCTCTCTCTTCCTCTCTCTCTCTCTCAACTTTGAACTGTGATTATTAATCGGTGTTTTTGGTTCTGTGAGGAAGCAGCATTTGAGCGGAGTCGTATTTATATACGCTCATCAAAGACCCCACTTATCCCTCAAGCACTGGACTTTTGAAAGTTGACTAGTATTTTTTCCGAGTCTTTGAGCTTATGGTGTAAGTTCATCTTTTGCTCCCTATACGTTTGGGGTTTCTTTCATTTTGGTCTTCCGATTATTTCTTATCACAATTTCTTTAATTCCAGTAATATTGTAATCTAAATTAAATTATGTTGTCATAAATTTTAACTTAGGTGAGAAGAGGTGAGCGAATTCCTTTCGCTAACTTGGCTAATCCCAAATTTATACAATTATGATCATAAACGATATTACTATCTTAACTCTAACTAAACTTACAAATGATAGTGCTAATCCAAATTCTGGCTAAACTAAACAACATGATTTTACAATAGAAGTGGTCGTTTTGTTAATTAGTTTGTGTTGTGGTTGTCTGAAAAGTTTTCTCGTTGGCATAAGCAACTCTAGATTTGTTACAACAAAAAACTATTTGAATCCTATCAAATTTTGTAAGAGTTGAAGTGTTGTCCTTATCTTACCATACAATATTAGAAGTTTAGGGGGGCAATTTGAAACAAAAAACGTTTAAAGATCCAAATAGAACAACTACCAAAATTGAAGGTGCAAATATATAATCAAGTCTTGAGCTTCCAATGCAAGTTTGAACTTAGTGTTGGACATGGCTGCGTCATATCAACGTACTCTAGAATTTACGAACTTTCTAGAATCTCATACGTGGAAAATAATTGTTTTTTGAAGGCAAAGCATTACGTCAGTACGTCTACTGTGCATGTCCATGTGGAGTGACAACAATGTTGCTACAGATTTCGAGTTTACATTCAGCTTAGCTGTAATAATACTACACAATGTTGTTGAAAAAAAAGAAAGAGTTTTGCATGTTTTTATAAGGAGCTGCAACAAGATCGGTCTTGAGATTTTGAGGGTCCTCGATTAGGGATGTCAATGGATTGGTCTGGGGATGGAACTGCTATATCCATCTTTATAATCACGAAAATTAATCATATCCATAACTGCAAATTAACCATCGGGTATTATCCATAACCATACCCACCGGATAACGGATTCCCTTAACGGTTATATCTATCTTCGTCAATACGAAAAATATATTTGCCCAATTGACACATGATAATTTAGTAAATATTAATTTCGTCATTAAATATTGGATCTATAAAATGATTTAATTAATGGATCTTGTGGAGCATAAAAATTAAAGTTAAACATTGATAATGTTGGTTGATCTTTGATATCTCCCATAAGTACCATTGAATTCTCATAGATTTTGATTCATATCAAAACTTTTGAACTTTGCCACAAAATGCAACTCAGACAATGCAATTTTTGTATTCTCAAGGTACGATTCGGTGAATAATGAATATACATACATACATATATATATACACACACACACACATATATTATATAATACTTTAATATTATATATAATTATATTACATATTATTGGTTCGGATTCGGGTACGGATATGGATTGGGGACCCTTATAACCATATCCAAAACCATAACCGAATAATATTTACGGGTTTCCCCCATACCCAAAATATACCCAAATTTTCATATTCAAACCCAATCAAATCGGACGGTTATCCATGGTTATCGGGTTTAACGATTAGAATTGTCATCCCTACCCTAGGGTAGCCTTCAAAGTGAGGCTCTAGAGTTTTTTAACTTCTCACACATTGTACATGATATGTATAAAAAAGAATTCGTTAAATACATAAAATTGATCAAATTTGCAAAATTCGGGAGAGATTTTGGTACGAAACGGTAGTACGAGCAGCCGGATCCACGTATTCGTGCATGGAGTCGTCGGTGCGGGTCAAATGGTGAGGTTCTGCAGCATAACCAAATGCCCTAAACCGGTACTCGGAATTTTCCTCCTGTTGCACCCTAACTAAAGGAAAGAGAGAAACATTTTTCTTATTTATGGATTCAAATACTAGTTCGACCAATTTATTCCTTATTTCCCTCGTATAAAAATATAAGGACGTATAAAAAACCACCAGGAGAATATAATACACGAAATTCCAAGAAAATGAAAGGTTCTAGATAAACAGTATTAACAACAATACAACATGAAAGGAGTACAGGAAAGGCAGAAATGCTGCACAGAAACGCAGCAGCTGATACAACAATAACAACAACAACAAAGTCTTTTCCCACTAAGTGGGGTCGGCTAAAACGCAGCAGCTGATACAGAGAAATTAATTAAAGCACTATTTACATAAGAAAGGGTGTTTAATTCTGAAGGTTATCAAAGGATTAAACCAATCATAATCATCCGATTTTGATAATGATTGTAATTGCTACTCCATTAGGGACGGAACCTCAAATTTCAATACCAACAACCGGTACATCACCATTGGTGTCTGGTTATTGTAATATATTTGAGACTCCAGCAGCCATGTCGCAGCAGATCCTGCATAACGCCATTTCCAGAATAGTCGAACGAAGCCTGAGTAGGAGGCCAGAACTAGAACTTGGTATCAAAGTATTATACCATTCCCCATCGGGGACCTGATTGATGGTTTTGAGGAGATGCTCCAGTGAAAGAACCCTACAGTTGCCTGCTTCAAAACCGTATGCTTCAAAGACTTGGTTTTTGTTTACTTCCCGGGCAGATGAAGAGCAATGCAATACTCTGCAGCTTCCCTGACCTGCAAATGGAGTTAACAGAAATCAAATTAGGTTGAGTGAAAACAGAAAATAGCCTTCCCAAAGCTTCAATACAAGAGCTTTTATTAACTATTTCAGCTTTGATTGCTCACCTTGTCTTGTGATACAGCCTTGCAGTCGGATTCTTCTCGGAGCAACTCCCAGTGGATAGACGCGAATGGATGATGGTTGAAGATAGTTTTGCTGAGGTACGTATTACTTTGAAGAAGAGGGTACATTAAATGACACATTTTTGCTGAGGTTCGTATGACTTTTTGATGAAGAAAGTACACAATCTGAACAACTTTGCTAAGGAATACTCGTAGTCTGGTTGGCATGAGATATGCGGTCTCCAAACAACTGCTGATTCTGAGAAAAGACATCTTTACTTCATCTGGACTCATCAGAGGAGAGTAGATTTCCTCATGACATCTCAAACACTGGCTTCTACTGGTGTTCTTTGAACTAACATGTTCACCTAACAAGCTTTCAAGTTTCTAAAACTAGGGAATTCTTAAAACGGCCAAAAGGAACAAGAATGGGCTTAGGTAACCTACATCGGTTATCATGGACATAATCCTACAGTTCCTGAATTGTAGATAAGGGTGATGCTTTACTCTTGCTAGAGCTCTTGGGGTTTACAAGTCCCCCAATTGCTCTTTTCTGATAACTAAGATCTTGCTGTTCTTCGATAGCTAAGATCCTGCTGTTCATTAGCTATGTTGATGTGTTTCTTGAATAGCTAATGCCGACTAAACCTATTTTTCTGTGTTTCTTACTCCACTGTTCCTGTCTTAGACTCATGCTTGTGACTCTGTTGGATTGGAGTCACTAAAAGTAGGGTCTATTGTTTCTTCCCAGGATACTAAGTTACCAATCCTGGTCAACAATGATAAATCAAGAACTATATGGGAGAAGAGTTGAAATCTCCATATAATCTAGAGATCCGCAACTCATCATTGCATCCAATATAGTTATAGTTATTGGTATGCACAACATCTCCCAGTTCCGTGTTCATTGGTGACAGCAACAAGTAATCTTGTAACGAAGATGGATCAAACAGAGGACCCATATATTCTTCTGGGCTAAAAGAAGCCTGGATTAAGAATCATAACGACAAAGGGTTATGTTTCGATGTAATTTTTGTGCTGCATATTAGAAGTTTATATAAAATGAAAGAAACAACTTCTCACCACTGAAATTCTTTCATCTGTAGCTTGAATTGGAACACCATTAGCCAGTTTGTTAACTTGCTCATTGGGATCATTGGTTGAAATATTATTCTTATATTCAGGATAAGAAATATTATCCGGGAATAAAGATTGCTGCAGTGTGGAGGGGCTGTATTCCTGCGGTTGATGTGGTTGCAGTGGCTGATGTGGCTGCAGCGGTTGAGAAGATGAATTCAGAATTTCTCCCATCTCAAGAAACAACTGGTGGATTAAGAATCACAAACAAGCAGGTGTTAAATTTAGGCAGGCTTTGCAAGTTCATACAAAAAAATGTAGAAAAAGCATACGATTATATCACCTCTTGAAACCTATCAGATGCAGCTTGATCATCGAAATCAGAGAATTTCCAGCCACCAGTTTCATCATTACCATCACCAAAGGTCAAAATGCCACTACCACGTTCACCAACATCGTGATTACCACCGGCAAACACATCACGTTCTAGCTGTTTGTATGCCAGTATTTCTTCTGTGTCGGAAATCATATGATTCATTGTTGCAGCTTGGTTATCAGTATTATAGGTAATGCAGCCACTAGTACCAGGATCAACTAATTCGCCACTACAGACATCAGGAGCATTTCCAAGCTGTGGTGGCTGATGAGGCTGAGGTGGCTCAGGAAGAGGAAAGAGTGAATTCAGATCTTCACCTGCTGGGGAACATAACTGCCACTGCACAATTAAGAATCACAAAACACGCAAGTATTAAGTTTCGATATACTTTTGTGCTCCATATTATCAGGTTTACATGAGAAAATATTCAAAAAGCTTGTATATTTTTCTTCTTAATGAAACAGAGGACTAGGCGAGATTAGCTCATGTCCGTTATGGGTGCGTTTGGTACGCGAACGGGACGGGACGGGACGGGACGGGACGGGACGGGACGGAACGGGACGGAACGGGACGGAACGGGACGGAACGGGACGGAACGGGACGAAGGTGTAATTTTTGAAAAATACATGGGGTATATTTGTCTTAAAATGGTAAAACAGTGTGTTCCACAGACGTGGAACAAACCCGTTCCAGGGGGAGGTGGAACGCAAAAACACCCAAAATCTGTCCCGTGGAACAGCCCGTTCCACCCATTTTTGGCGTACCAAACAAACGCGATACGGAACGCCTCGTCCCATTCCGTCCCGTCCCACGTACCAAACGCACCCTATGGGCACAAAGAGCTACTCTCAGTAATGACGGAGAGAGGACCAGCACATTTAGAAACCTCCCTCCAATCCCCTGTGTTTATTAAAACAATAAATAAATAAATACAGAATAATACATACCCAAACCTCTTGAATCATGTCGCGTAGAGATTGATTAATATCAGATGAGCTGCCACCAGCAGGTTCACCATCATCTTGATTTCCACTACCAAGCAGATCATGTTCTAGCTGTTTGTACGCCAGAACTTCTTCAGTGTCTGGAGACATATGATTCGTTGCAGCAGCAGTAGCAGCTTCATCAACTGGCTTATACTTGAGGACGCAGAGAACAAAGCCCCTTTGCTGATCCCTCGCCTGATGGGGACTAGAACCCCGTTCAGGTTTAATGCGAATGTACTCGTGCATTTTCCAGCTCGTCGTAACGGATTTAGACCTACGACCTTCCTGGAAGGTCTTTTTTTTGAAGGTTAATGTCCTCTTTTTGCAAGTGAAATATTTCGGGCCGACATCCCGTTGGCCGCCGTTCATCTTCCAGAAGCCTTTCTTTGTTTTCCTTTTGAAGCGAGGACTGTTGTTGGATTTGTAATCACACCAGCTGAAGGAGTACCACGCCTTAGCTTGATACGGAGATTCAGCGAACATGCGCCCTGCAACACAAAGTGAGATACTGAAAATTTAAAACCAACTCACTTCAAGGACTTGTTTGGTGACTAAAATTCAACTGTATTGGATAATTCATTAGAATCAGGGCTCGTTCGGTGCCTAAGATTGGATCGAATTGGATAATCACAACATTTAAGCTATGTTGACGGAAGATATGAAGAAATTTTGTCCAATTTGAAGGTAGAAGATGGATTACTCATAACGAAACTTCATGCTTCAAATCCCCACAAAGTGGGTACTTGGTAGGATTCGAAGGGATAAGTTTTCTTCATGTCTAATCCATCAAATCCCCTAAAAAGAAAATCCAACACTATCCCATCCTTGGAACCGAACGAGAAAAAGTGAGATAGAATAATGGGTTACCAGGCAATTCCCAAGGCTCGAACTTGCGGACATCGATGACAGGGAGGAAGAGGCAGGCTTGAGAATTGTGATTTTTCATCTTCTTCCTCAAGAAGTCGGCCTTTTCATCTTCAGTGGGATGGAATCTGATCGCAGCCACCATGTCCGGCACCGATTGGGCGGTGGTTGTGGTGATCATGGAAGTGCTGCTGCTGCTGCTGCTGAAGTTTTTCATCCCTCCTCCTCCTTCAGATGCTTTGGAAATTTGGAAACCAGATTATCAGATGTTTTTTGCTTTCAGAGAACAAAGCAGAAAAGCAGAGGAGGCGAAGTGAAGTTTGTACTTAAAAACAAAGTCACCCAATTAAGTCAGTGCAACTGTGCTCTTTTGACTTCCATAGACTCCCAGGTCTTCAGATGATCATGATGGTGCCAAACTACTGTCGTGTTTACACGTTGGGTAAGAATGTGCCAAATTAAATTTTCTTTATGGCGTTGAAATAGTAATGTTAGAGAGACTAAATTTATAGATAAAAAATTTAAATTAAATGATATGTTGCAGATAGAAAATGAGAACGTTTATCAACGCTTAAGCAGTAGCCCAATTGTCAATTTTCATATCATTTAATCTATAAAATTTTATTTATAAATTTAGTCTTTCTAATGTTATTCATGTGAAAATGACTTTAAGTGTGGATTTCACCCTTTTTCTATCATGTCTTTTACTTTGTAGTTTGTTTTTGTTCATTCGAAGAATTTCACCCAATTCTCAGTAGCCATCACTCATGATGCGTTTACTAATCCGTAATCAAATGGAGAGAAATTGAATTGAAGATGAATTAGATTGAGGATGAATTGAAACGAGACGGAATCAGAATCAGATTTCTGTTGAAATTGTTTACTAAAACTATCTGGAATCAGAATAGAATTCTATAAAGCTGTTTACTAATTCAGCAGAATTAAAATATAAACCAGTATGATTACTAAAATACTCTTGTCCCAAATCAAACATTTTATATACTTTTTTTTAATAAAATTTGATATAGTATATAATAGTAAGACAAATTAAATTGCTTTTTTATTTCATAGACACACTAAAATGATTTTGTTAATTTTTTTTATAAATTTAAGTATTTACTTTAATATCTAAATTTAATATAATTACTAAAACTGTCACATCCCGGCCCGGGGCAGACCACTTCCCAGGCCCGCTCCACTACCGTAGCACGATATTGTCCGCTTTAGACTTACCATTCCCTCACGGTTTTGTTTTTGAGAACTCATGAGCAACTTCCCAGTGGGTCACCCATCATGGGAGTGCGTTTTTGAGAATTCACGAGCAACTTCCCAGTGGGTCACCCATCCTGCGAGTGCTCTGGCCTCGGAACTCCGAAGCCAGTGAGCTCCCAAAAGGCCTCGTGCTAGGTAGGGATGGGAATATACATTTAAGGATCACTCCCCTGGGCGATGTGGGATGTTACAATCCACCCCCATTAGGGGTCTGACGTCCTCGTCGGCACACTTCAAGCCAGGGATTGGCTCTGATACCAATTGTCACATCCCGGCCCGGGACGGACCACTTCCCGGGCCGCTCCACTACCGTAGCACGATATTGTTTGCTTTAGGCTTACCATTCCCTCACGGTTTTGTTTTTGAGAACTCACGAGCAACTTCCCAGTGGGGGCCTCATTCTCGCTTAACTTCGGAGTTCCTACGGAACCCGAAGCCAGTGAGCTCCCAAAAGGCCTCGTGCTAGGTAGGGATGAAAATATACATTTAAGGATCACTCCCCTGGGCGATGTGAGATGTTACAATAACACACTTTTTCATAAAAAATTATTTATGGTCTATTTTTTTTCATTATTTTGTTACTACTTAAATTATTCGTAATATAATTAAACTTTAATTAGTATAATTCATTTTTACCTATGTATTTCGCATAAATTATTTATAATCTCTTTTTTATTAGTAAATAATTATTTTATAGTCTAATCAAGAGAAAACATTAATTAATTTTTATTAAGAGAAAAAAAAAATTAGCCAAACATATCTGTTACTGGACTTTGAAAGCGACTAGTGTTGTTTTTTCCAAGTCTTTGAGCTTATGGTGTAAGTTCATCTTTTGAAAGTGACTAGTTTTTTTTTTTTTTTCCAAGTCTTTGAGCTTACGGTGTAAGTTCATCCATCTTTTGAAAGTGACTAGTGTTTTTTCCAAGTCTTTGAGCTTATGGTGTAAGTTCATCTTTTGCGAACTTGCTAATCACAATTATAATCACAAACGATATTAATATTTTAAACCTTGACTAAACTAATGTGATTACAAATGATATTATTATTTAGGTTTACAAACATTGTATTTTGTTCTTTACAAGAATATTCCTCTAATTTGATCTCAAGTGTTGAGTTTTGATCCAAGGGTGGCAAGCACTTTGATCTTAAAGTGATGGACTTGCTTCGTTTCTTTGAAGTCCTCTTTCTTGAAAATGAGACTAATATTTATAGGCAAGCTATTGAGTCTTAGTTTAGAGCTCTAATTTGAATCCCGTAATTTGTGGGATTGATTTTCTAATTTATCTAATTCGAGCTAATTACTTAATTTAGCTCTTAATTACATCAGAAAATCTTTAATTTAGGAAATTTAACCATAATTAATATAATTTAATTAAATTAGAGTTAATTTTTCCCCTTTTGTATTTGATTTGATTTAATTTAGACTTATAGTTATTAATTAAATCAAAATCAGTAATTTGAAAAATTAAATCATAATTGAGTGGATCTGATCAATTAGGTTAACTTGCTCCTTTATTTACTTGATATGATTTGTTTGACGGAGGTCTCAGATGTTGATATACATCACTTCTGGTGACTCGTTCGACTTTGATGAGTCATATGCAATATATGCAATTTGGCGAGACATATGAACCTGGAAAGAGCCAATTGCCTTTTGGTGCGCCACATAGCCCCACCGAGTCAAAATTTAATTTGTAGGTGAACATTTACTCCACATAAATCTCGATGTCCAATATTTCAATATGAGTATTCGTTTTGTTTTTTTTGTTTTTTGTTTTTTAACAAACGATCTTATCTAACTAAAGAGGGTGGGGGAATGGGCTAAGTCTTGCAATAAGCTAGCAATAATGTGGTCCAAATTTGCCTTTAACAATTATTCGTTTTGTTAATTACATTTGTTTTGTGTTCGTCCGAAAAGCTTTCTTGTTTACATGGGCGACGGAAAATTTTTTACAACAAAAAAGGGTCTGAATTGAACATTTAATTTGTAGATGAACATTTCACATAAGTTTGGACGTCCAATATTTCAATATGAGTGTTTGTTTTGTTAATTACATTTGTTTTGTGTTCGTCCGAAAAGCTTTTTTGTTTACATAGGCGATGCTGGATTTATTACAACTAAAAACCGTTTGAATTGGATAGCACACATGTGTAAACTCTATCAAATTTGTAAAGGGATTAATGTTGTCCTCGTTTTACCATGCATTTTTAGAAGTTTAGAGGCCAATTTGGTACAAAAAAAGATTTAAAGACCCAAACATAAGAGCTACTAAAATTGAAGGTGCAAATATATAATGAAGTCTTGGGCTTCCAATGCAAGTTTTACCCAAGTCACAAACATGGCTGCGTCATATCATTATTAGTGGACCCCATCATCGTCCTTTAACGCGTTAATTTTTATTTTATCTTTTTAGTCCTGGAGTGGGAATCTTACGATTCTTCTCGCCCGCCCCCACTCTCCCACTTTTTTATCGGAAGATGAACTGCCGTAATTTTTAAGAGAATTGAGATTCATTCCGAATTTTGGTGTTCGTAGTACGCAGATAATGAGATTCTGGCCTTTCAACTTCAATTTTAATGTCTTTATTAAACTTATTTTACGGATTCATTTTATAAAAGGAAACTTTAAAGAAAAGTTTCTGGTACTGTTCATTTTAATTAAAAATCATATTTTTATACTAAAAAGTCAATCATGAACTATTCATTTTAGCCTTTATTTTGTTATTTTCGTTAAAATTCAAAGTTTTTAAATTATTTTAACTAGTTTTCATTTTATAAAAACCCAAAATTTTAAAGGGCCCGAATCTCTATATTAGGTGGTCCAAATTGTGAAATTGTGGGGTTCTGGGCTTTGAGATCCATAGAGAATTCCAGCTCATTTTTGGAGTGAAACATATACATTCGAGAGATTTCAAGATCATTCTAGACTCTAAGGCCTCGTTTGGCATGCCGTATAAAGCATCGGATAGGATAAATAATACGGGAGCAGTTGTTTGGTGCACTCTCGTACTAAATAAGCACCCACTTAATTATCCGGCCCATCAAATTTTATACGGTTGACATCGTACTATTAAAACAACCCAAAAGCTCAGGATAATTAGTCGGGGCGCTGTCCTCTCCAACTTCACGAAGCCGCCGTTAACGACATCTCAAAGTGGGCCTTCGAGCAGTTCCTCGACGAGTTCTCCACCCCAGGCGCCACTCCTCTGCAGTCATTCGCTGACTAATTTCCCGTCTCGTCCGACGGAAAGCACACAGAGGAACAAAGAAGAGAGTGAGAGAGAGACAAAAGGAGACCAATAGCGAAACAACATATTCCACAGGGATATACAGAAAGGGGCGGATGGAAGCTGAGGAATTCGCCAACTGGAGGCATCACTCAGCTCTTCCCCTCCTCCAAATCGAATTTTGTCAATGCTTTTCCCCAACCTAATGCCCAAAATCAGTCAGCCCCATTTTTCTCTCCGATGAGTGTTCTTGGTTTGTTGAAAAAAAGGTGTCCTCCGTGAATTTCCTTCCAATTGTTTTTTAGGACAAATAGAAAACAAAGTCCTTTGTGTGAATTTTCTTGGTTTGTGGTGTGTTTTTTTGTTGGGTTGATTTGTAGCTAAAAAAAAGAGAAGGATTGGGAAAAAAACTATGAGAATTTGAAAGGTGGGTTTTGTTGGGTTTCTTGTTGCTGCCTTTGTGGTGGGGTTTAGTTCAGAGGAGCAGACGAGGAAGAAGAAGAAGGGATAGAAAGGGAGGGAGTTTGGGGGGGGGTGCGGCGGAGAGATCTGGAACAAGAGAGATGATTTCAGCTTTTTTTTTTTTAATTTTATTTTAAGTTTGATTTCTTCTATCCGGTATAATACCAAACACAGTATAAATACTACGGTCATTAGTCCGATACTGCACCAAACGCCCGACTAATTTAGTCAGTACTATCCGATGGCTATTTATCCTATCCGACAGAAATAGTCAGTACAGTCCGAGCTGCCAAACGAGGCCTAATACGTGGGAAAATAATTGCTTGTGAAGGCAGACCACTACGTCTACCGTGCAAGTCCATGTGGAGCAATGTTTTAAAAAATTAATGTTAAGATTAGTCTAGCAATTGCCACTTAATATTACGGTTTGATGATATTCTTCTTTACTTGGAAGTAAGGTCAAATCTCGTGGATGACGAATTCGATACCAAATTAAGTTGCATATTGTGTGATTTAGCCGAATTCTCTTCCCCTTAATGTAAAAATATTGATGAACTCAAAAAAAACAAAAAAAAAAAGGGAAGAAGAAGAAGAAGAAGACTAGTCTAGCAATTTTTTGGTGGGACTATCAAAAAAATGCCTCTGCCCAACATGAGTGGACTATAGACTAGCTTAGGCATTTGGGAGGGGCGATGCTAATTAGAGATATAATAATAGTTAAATATTTAATTGTTTGCTATGCTTGCTTGATTGTTTTACAAGGTATTATGTTATGTATATAAATAAGACTATCGCCTAGGCGAAGCTATCATCAGCTTCGTCTTTGCCTTTTAAAACATTTGTGTAGTGACAATAATGCATATGTCAAGTTTATATCTAGCTTAGCTGTAATAACTGTACACGTGGTTTTTATAGGTGATTTATTGTCACATGGAATGATCATCCTTGACTAGGATTATGATTGAGTGTATTAATCTTATATTGGAAAAAAGAGCCTTGTAGGTTCATATAAGGAATTAGACTACCTCACATGTCGCTAATTACTTTGTGTTAGAACCTCAATTTTCTATATAATTTGGAGTAAGAACCTCAGCTTTTCTTTGACAACAATTTGACAATGGTCTATACTTCATATCGGTTTGGTTCGACCCGTTCTCAAAATAGCCTGGAATCACTCGACATGGGGCAACAAAATAACTCCACTTTGCTAATCGTGAGTGTCACTCAACAACTTTGGAGAAATTGCAGAGAATATGCTGCTCTTTTGCTGTGGGAAAAAACTTCCCTCATTGAAACAATTGATGGGATTACAAAAGTTCCTAATAAGCTAATTTGCAACAAAATGTTGTCATCTCACCTATATATGCCACTAGCTAAAACCGTTATTCCCATGACTACACTACTAGTCTACTAGAAACCATCCTAGTTGATACCAAACTTAAAACTCAATTAACAAACAACTAAACACATTAACTCAAAATAATTATTCAGTAGCAACTGGCTATTCCAATTATATCCAAATGCCCCAAATGAGTACATCTCTTTCCAATAGTATAGAGATCATAAGTTCGATTCGAGTGTTCTCCACTTGTTTACAAAAAGAAAAAAAAGGTTGTAAATGTGCATTCAGTTGATGTGGACTTGTGCTACTTTCTCATGGATTGCTAAAACTATGGACGCCTGATTGCAGCTGGATATCCTTTTGATCCATTTCTCCTTATTTGGTTGTACCATAACATACAGAGTTATGTTACAAAATCACAAAGTTTTTTAGCATTATTTTGGTTTCAAGTTTTAACTCGATTGGAAGTCAAAAACAATTTCTTCTTCATATGGGCTAAAATATGAGAAGAGAATATAACCACAAAATTCCACTGAAATTGAAAGGTTCTAAATAAACAACCTTAACAACAATACAACATGAAAGGAGTACAGGAAAAGCAGAAATGCTGCACAGAAACGCAGCAGCTGATACAGGGAAATTAATTAAAGCAATATTTACATAAGATGGGTTTTTAATTCTGAAGGTTATCAAAGGATTAAACCAATCATAATCATCCGATTTTGATAATGATTGTAATTGCTACTCCATTAGGGACGGAACCTCAAATTTCAATACCAACAACCGGTACGTCACCATTGGTGTCTGGTTATTGTAATATATTTGAGACTCCAGCAGCCATGTCGCAGCCGATCTGGGACTTGATTGATGGTTTTGAGGAGATGCTTCGAGGAAAGAAATACTCTGCATTTTCCTTGACCTGCAAATAGAGTTAACAGAAATCAAATTAAGTTGAGATAAAACAGAAAACAGCTTTGCTCACCTTGTCTTGTGATACAGCTTTGCGGTTGGATTCTTCTCGGAGCAACTCCCAGTGACTAGACGCGAATGGATGATGGTTGAAGACAATCTTGCTGAGGTACGTATGACTTTTGACGTATAGAGCACATTATTTGAAGACAATTTTGTTGAGGTTCCTATGGCTTTTGATAAAGAGAGTACACTATTTAAAGACAATTTTGCTGAGGAATATTTGTAGTTTGGTTGACAGGAGACACGCGATCTACAAACAACTGCTGCTTCTGGGAAAAGACATCTTTGCTTCATCTGGACTCAGTTGGAGTAGAGTAGATTTCCTGATGACATCTCAAACACTGGTTTCTGCTGCTGTTCTTTGAACTAACATGTTCACCTAACAAGCTTTGAAGTTTCTAAAGCTAGGGAATGCTAAAAAAAGGCCAAAAAGAAGAAAAACAGGCTTAGCAAACCTACATCGGTTGTCCTGGAAATGATCGTCCAAAACTAGCAGAAAAAGTTTCTAATGCCTACAGTTCCTGAATGGTAGATTAGGGTGATGCTTTTACTCTTGCTGCAACTCTTGGGGTTTACACGTCCCCTATTGCTGTTTCCAATAATTCAGATCTTGTTGTTCTCTGATAACTAAGATCTTGCTGTTCACTAGCTATACTGATGTGCTTCTTGAATAGCTAATAGAAGACTATAAACCTGTTTTGCTATGTTTCTTGCTTCACTATTGCTATCTTAGACTCGTGCTTGCGACTCTGGTAGATTAGAGTCACTAAAAGTAGGGTATTTTGTTTCTTCCCAGAATACTAAATTACTAATCCTGGTCAACAATGATAAACGAAGGACTATGGGAAAACATTTGCAATCTCCATATTATCTAGAGACTGTAACTCATCATTGCATCCAATATAGTTATTGGTATGCACAACATCTCCCAGTTCCGTGTTTATTGATGGGCTGCAGAGGCTGCTGTGGTTGCGGCGGCAGATGTGGCTGTGGTGGCTGTAGTGTGGCGGGGCAGTAATCCTATGGTTGATGTGGCTGCAGAGGCTGATATGGTCGCGGCGGCTGATGTGGCTGTGGTATCTGCATTGGCTGCGGCGGTTGAGAAGGTGAATTCAGAATGTCTCGCATCTCAGCAAACAACTGGTGGATTAAGGATGACAAACAAGCAGGTGTTATTGGCAGGTTTTGCAAGTTCAATCAAAAGAAAGCAGAAAAAAGCATATGATTATCACACCTCTAGAAACCTAGTTGGATCATCGAAATCCGAGAATTTCCAGCCACCAGTTTCAACATCACCATCAGCTAAGGTCCAAATGTCATTGCAGTCCATAAGACAAGAACCATCTGGAGACTCATTGCTATTAACATCTCCTAGCTCTTTGTTTCCCAGATGTTCCACTGGCTCTACTATCACATCACTTACAACAGCTTGATCATCTTCGGAACTCGCTCCCGAATCAGCTAATTCGCCGCGGATTGGATCACCCTTCGGCTTCTTATTGTTAGATGAAGTCTGTTGTGAAGATTATTCTAATGGCTTTTTCTAATGTCTGTTGTGAAGATTATTCTAATGGCTTATTTTAATGGAAGCCATTCTCTTCTGTCGAAGATGCTCCACTCACAGGAATCGTGGACAGCAAAGGTCTTCACATGAACTGCAGTATGGTGGACAGCAGTCTTCACATGGACTGCAGCATTGTGGACAGCAAAGTATATTTCTTTATTGCATGCGTGTGTATTTTGATGTATATAAATATCTGCTGCTATTGCAGCAGATGTGTATGATAATATATTCAATCCATTTCTTTTATGGTATCTAGAGCTTTTTTTGTCTAACGACAACGATCCTCGTTTTCCTATCCTTCCCATCCTCGCTTCCATGGCTGAAACCAATGTTTCTGCTAGTTCATCCACCCTCCCAAACAACTCGTTTCATCCGTTTTCCACTGTTGTTAATATCAAACTGGATAGAACCAACTACCCACTGTGGTTGGCTCAAATACTTCCTATCCTAAAAAGTAGGGATCTGATGGGATATGTTGATGGCACGCTGGTGTGTCCTCCAAAGAATGTGACTGGTGCAACCACTCTGAACCCAGCGTATACTGCCTGGGTACAACAGGATCAAATGATCCTCAGTTGGATAAATGGTTCTCTAACTACCTCTGTCTTGTCTGTGGTGGCAAGCAAACGAACTGCTCGAGCAACCTGGGAAGCTCTTGAGCAAAGGTACGCCTCTACTTCTCAAAATAGAATTTTGTTTTTGAGAAATGAGTTGTTGCAGACCAAGAAAGGTGATCTATCTGTGGTGGATTACCTAGATCGCATGAATGCGATAGCTGATAACCTTGCCCTAGCTGGGCATCCTGTGAGTGATGATGAGCTCGTGCAGATTGTGTTGAACAATCTTGGACCGGCCTTTGAGATGACAGTAAGTGCTGCACAAGCTCGTGATAATCCTATCACGTATCCCACTCTTGAAGCACTCCTGCTCACAACCGAAAGAAGAATGGCGGACCAAACTGTCCCTTTGGTGGAAGGTGCTACTGTCAATGCCTTCATTGCGTCTAGAGGCCGTGGTGGAGGCCGCTCTCGTGGAAATGGACGAGGCACCTCTCCAACCACTCGTGGTGCTCAAAGAAGCTACAACCCACGTAATAATAATTATCAGCGCAATCCTTCAGGTAATATTGAAAGATCGGCTTCATATGGTGATCGCATTGTTTGCCAAATCTGCGGCAAACCTGGACATCCCGCTCTTGACTGCTACCACCGCATGAATACTGCTTTTGAAGGCCGAATTCCTGCCCAACGTCTCTCGGCAATGACGTCCTCCACCATCCCCATCAACAAGCAGCAAAATGGAAATTGGCTCCTGGACACAGGTGCCAACGCACATATTACTCCCGACTTTCAGAATTTGGTAAATCCTAAAGACTATACTGGTAAAGATGGTGTGGGAGGTATAGGTAATACTTCTGGAATTTCTATTGCACATTGTGGTTCAACTCAACTTAATACTACTGCTTGCTCATTTGCTTTACAAGATATCCTTCATTGCCCTACTGCTTCTACCAATATCATCTCCGCCCATAGGTTCACCTTAGACAATGACTGTTATTTACTAATCTTTCCACATTTTTTCCTTGTTAAGGACCTCAAGACACGGAAGACGCTTTTCCGAGGGAGATGTGAGAATGGGTTATACCCATTTCCAAATGGCAGTGGTCACCTCAAGTATCCAGTTTCTGCGTTTGTGGGCGTTAGGGTGTCTGTTCAAAAGTGGCATGCTCGTCTTGGTCACCCTGCCAAACCAATAATCAAGTTTTTAATTTCAAATAAATTTGTACCAATTCATGGTACATCTAATGTCATCTTTTGTGAGTCATGTCCTTTAGGAAAGAGTACTCGGTTACCTTTCAGTAAGTCTGAGTCTGTCTCTCAATTTCCTTTGCAACTTTTACATTCTGATGTGTGGTGTTCTCCAATTATTTCTAATGAAGGTTTTCGTTATTATCTGTTGTTTGTGGATGATTATTCCCGATATTCTTGGATCTTTCCCATGAAACAAAAATCTGAAGTTTTTGACATATTTGTAAAGTTTAAAGTTAAGGTTGAAAAGATGTTTAACTGTTCAATTAAAACCCTTCAATGTGATGAAGGTGGTGAATATAAAAGTCATGCCTTTCAAAACTTTCTTGGCGTCCATGGAATTTCTCAACGTTTTTCTTGTCCAAAACATCCTGAACAAAATGGATTGGCAGAACGGAAACACCGACACATTGTCGAAACCAGTATTGTTATGCTTTCTCAATCTCATATGCCTAATAAGTTTTGGTTTGATGCATGCTTAACTGCTACATACTTGATAAACCGTCTGCCAACTCGTGTACTATCAAACATATCTCCTTTTGAGAAATTGTTTCAAAGAAAACCAAATTATGCCATGTTAAAAGTTTTTGGTTGTCGTTGTTTTCCTTGGTTAACACCATATAATCAAAATAAATTACAACCAAAATCCAAGTCATGTGTCTTTCTTGGGTATTCTCTTGATCATCAAGGATACAAATGTTTGGATCTGTCCACAAGACGAGTTTACTTGTCTCGCCATGTCCTATTCGATGAGGATTTTTTCCCTTTTAAGGGACTCACATCTCCTCCTGAAAGCGTTGCAGCCCAAGGTAACAATCTTTTACCCCAATTATTATTTACTTTTCCCTTAACCACAACTGTTCCTGTGTGTCCTACTACACCAAATACCCATAGTGCCCAGTCCTCTCTTGATACTTCTATCACGCCACATATCTCTTCCTCTCCTGGTCTAACATCTCCACCCCCAATACCATTACCATCTAACCATTCCTTAGGATCCACACTACAATCACATGAGCAAGTGTTAGTCAATTCACATTCTTTGCCACCTAATGTGTCTAGTGATACTGGCCACTCTATGACTACACGTTCCAAGTCTGGAGTTGTCAAACCCAATCCAAAGTATGCTATGCATGTTACCATTAAAGATATTCCTGTTGAACCAACATGCTTCAGTCAGGCAGTCAAGCATCCTGAGTGGAGGGAAGCTATGGTGCAAGAATTTAATGCATTACAAAGGTGTGGCACGTGGAGTTTAGTTCCACATCAATCTGACATGAATGTACTGCCAAATAAATGGGTGTTCAAAATTAAGCGCAAAGCGGATGGCACTGTTGAGCGTCATAAAGCTCGGTTAGTGGCTAATGGTTTTCATCAGAAGGCTGGCGTGGATTACACTGAAACTTTCAGTCCTGTGGTTAAACACAGCACCATTCGTTTTGTCTTAAGTCTTGCTGTGTCAAAGAAATGGCCTGTCCGCCAACTGGATGTATCAAATGCGTTCTTGCATGGCTACTTAAATGAACATGTTTACATGCGGCAACCATCAGGCTTCATTGACAAACAGTTTCCAAATCATGTTTGTAAGCTGCAACGTTCTATTTATGGTTTAAAACAAGCACCTAGGGCTTGGTTCCAACGCTTCTCAGATTTCTTGCTTCAACTGGGCTTTGAGGAGTCCACATGTGATTACAGTTTGTTTGTGTTTAATCAACGGGGTGTATATCTCATTCTTTTAATCTATGTTGATGACATTCTTCTCACAGGGAATAGTCCTCGCCAGATGGATCATTTGATTAAGAAACTTGGTAGTTTGTTTTCAATGAAGGATTTGGGATCACTAAGTTATTTCCTGGGTATTGAGGTCACGTATAATGGTGATTTCATGCATCTCTGTCAGTCCAAATATGCTCGGGATCTACTGACTAGAACTACATTCACAGACGCAAAGCCCATTTCCACTCCAGTGCCGTCTGGTCAGAAGTTGAGTGCCTATGCTGGAGATCCTTTTGCCAATCCAGAGATGTATCGTAGTGTTGTTGGGGCACTACAGTATCTTACGATCACTCGGCCAGATTTATCATATGCTGTGAATCAAGTGTGCCAGTTCATGCACTCTCCAAAAACAACGCACTGGATGGCTGTAAAGCGAATCCTACGGTATCTGAAGGCTACGTATAATCATGGGCTATTGTATAAACCAGGAACTGTGGAGTTGACAGCATTTTCTGATGCAGATTATGCTGGCAACCCCGATACTCGTCACTCCACAGGTGGTTTCTGTGTTTATTTGGGTTCCAACCTTGTATCCTGGAGTTCAAAAAAACAAAAGACAGTATCGAGGTCGAGTGCAGAGGCAGAGTATAGGCAGTTAGCTTATACTGCAGCAGAGTTATCATGGTTAAGGTCTCTTTATAAAGACCTCCATCTCCATCTGGTTCAACCAACCATTTGGTGTGACAATGTTTCTTCAATTGCCCTTGCGTCCAATCCGGTTTTTCATTCGAGAACCAAGCATCTTGAGGTTGACTATCATTATGTTCGTGAGAAGGTTGTTCGTGGTCAGTTGTTGGTCAATTATGTGTGTTCCCAGGACCAACTTGCTGACATTTTCACTAAAGGATTGTCTTCGTCCAGATTTCAGTTCCTTATCTCCAAGCTCCCAGTTGTACCACCCCCTGTTAGCTTGCGGGGGGCTGTTAGATGAAGTCTGTTGTGAAGATTATTCTAATGGCTTTTTCTAATGTCTGTTGTGAAGATTATTCTAATGGCTTATTTTAATGGAAGCCATTCTCTTCTGTCGAAGATGCTCCACTCACAGGAATCGTGGACAGCAAAGGTCTTCACATGAACTGCAGTATGGTGGACAGCAGTCTTCACATGGACTGCAGCATTGTGGACAGCAAAGTATATTTCTTTATTGCATGCGTGTGTATTTTGATGTATATAAATATCTGCTGCTATTGCAGCAGATGTGTATGATAATATATTCAATCCATTTCTTTTACTTATAACTAGCTGACTTGTTCTTCAGGCGGCAGAGGACAAAGTCCTTCTGCTTGGTGGGTTTAGAACCCACCTCAGTTTCTGTGAGATAATACTCATGGACTATCCAATCGGTCTTCTTTGATTTCGGTACACGACCTTCGTAGAATGTCAGGGTCCTCTTCTTCCCAACCACAGCCTTGGATTCTTCAGCTCTGATCTCCCGCTCCTTTCCTGTGATCTTGTAAAAGCCTTGATCCGTGGCCCGGTTGCAGCGAGTGCCGTTGTTGTACTTGTAATCGAGCCGGGTAAAGAAGAACCACTCCTTCTCATGGACTTCTGGGAAGAATGCTAAAATCCAACAACAAAACCAAATGTTCAAAAGTTGAAACTAACCCACTTCAATTCTTGAGGTACAAACGATATTAATACTCTTAAGCTATGCATACAACAGAAAACTGAAAAGATCATAAATTTATGCATACAACAGTAAACAAAAAGTGGAAACCAACCCAAGTCAATTCTGGAAGAAAAAAACAGAAAAATCGAACAAGATTGTAAATTTACATAAACAACAGCAGAATCCATTAGAAATAAGATACGGGTAGTGAAGAAAAAGTGAGACAGATTAGTGGGGTTACCAGGAAGATCGCAGGGCTCGTACTTGCAGACATCCATTTCAGGGATGAGGTGGCAGAAATGAGAGTCGGTGCCCTGTATCTTGTTCCTCAAGTAGTAGCTGACCAGCAACTCATCAGTGGGGTAGAATCTGAACCCAGGTAGTAGGATCACATTCACATTCTCTGCATCGCCTTCTTCAGTTGTCATGCTGCTGCTGCTACTGCCACTGCTCATCTCTCTCTCAACTCTGAACTGTGATTATTGATCAGTGTTTTAGATTGTGTGGGGAAGCAACATTTCAGTTAAGTTGTATTTATATACGCCCATCAAGGGCCCATTTGTCACTCAAAGCACTGGTCTTTTGAAAGTTGGTTTTTTTTCCAAGTCTTTAAGCTTATGGTGTAAGTTCATCTTTTGCTCCCCACACTTTTGAGGCTTCTTTCATTTTGGTCTTTTAACTTTTTCTTATCGGATAAATTTCAATCTAATTTAAATTACACTGTGATAGATTTTAATTTACGATTTTTACTTCATAATTAATTACTTTAACTAATTTGGCTATTCACAATTATGATTAAAAACAATATTATTATTTTAAACCTTGACTAAACTAATGCGATTACAAACGATTTTATTATTTAAATTCTAATTAAACTAATAATATGACTAGCCGCGCTTGAGCCGTACAAAATGTATTTTTTGAATCACAGCATGCTACACGCAACTCACACATTTTAAATGTATATATATGAGTGAATTGCTTCAATATTTTTTTTATGGCAAAAAGAAATTCAAAATATTTGGACTAAATGAATAATATTAGTCTATGCTAGAAGAAACTCCTCACAAACCAATCAAAGCAACTAAATTCACATAATAAAATTAGTCTTTCAATCTCCATCTACATTTTATTGAATTTACATTAAAAATAGAGAAAATAATATTTAATAAACAATTGATTGAATCATATTATTGCTAGCCCATTGTGAGGCTAAGCCAACCTAGATAACGTCGTTTGTTAAAAAAAAAAGGGGATCATTTGACAACTAATTGAATCACATTATTTTGCGTGTGTGAAAAGACCTTATTTTTTTTATTTTTATTTTTTATAACTGGCACTACGTGCTTCTTAAGTGTTTAAAAATAGAGAAAATAAAATTTAATTATGACACGCCTCGATCCCGATGTCCGGGGGACAGCGGGATGACCACGTGCTGGCTGACACCCGATGGTGACGAAAGCCATTTAATGAATGCATATGCCGAGAACATGTGAAACATGCATATAAATTTCGCTTGAACTACAAAACATAATATTCAAATACAAACCTTACCAAAATAATATAATAATATTCAGTCGTCAATAAAATGATAGTGATAATGCATGACATGTTCATAGTATACATCTAATTCAGAAATACAAGCGGAATGTGCTGTTACAAGTGATGTCGAAGCAGAGAGGGATGGCGCGATATCACTGGTAGGGGAATGCCTTGTAGCTCGGATCGTTTGCCTCGTTCCTATGTCATGAGGGTGTGCAAAACAAACATGAGTGGACCAAGTTGATGTATATAAGTAGTACAAACATAGTTATTCCACAACATACTAACCCCTAAAGTTTATGAAAACTACTAGTATAATGGGTGATAGGTTTTTCGAAAACCTAACATGCCATAAAACCTTTCATAAAACATATATCATATATAGTGTGCTAAATAGTGGTATCATAATAGCCCGAAGGCTCTCCTTCACGAGCCCGTAAGCAGGTCATACGCCCGTAGGCAGAACAATTGCCCGTAAGCAGGACATACACCAGTAGGCAGAACATACGCCCATAGGCAAAACAATGACCACTAGATAAGCACAAAACATTGTATATAATCTTTCCAACATAAGTACATATATCTCAAGGGAGCTCAATAGCTCAAACATCATATCTCAAAACATCTTCATAG